GTGGACTAATTCATGCCTTCATGCCTAAGGCAGGCAGCTTCCCGAAAGCTTGTTTTCTGCTGTAGTGTGGTGCAAGGGGAGATGATTCTGGTATAGATACTGTTGTAGGTGTCCAATCTATTCAACACCAATAATAAGTGGGGATGCTGACCCATAAACATGCAGAAAAACAGCAATACGATCAGTTCGCAGCCGGCCACGCGAGGACCGCCGGGCCGGGAAGCGAAGTGGCCGCCGACGGCGGATGAGAGAGGGCTGGGATGGAGAATATCTGGAAGAAGAGTGGAGAGTGACCTTTATTCTGTTACTTGGTTTTTACAGGGGAAGCTCCGGTTTGATGGTTTTTGTCACATTGTTTTTGGCAATTAGTGTCTGAAGCTTCCCAATTCGCTTCCGCCTAAAACGCTTCAACAAATATTTTCTCTTGAGAAGCAGCCGGTGAAATCTAGGCACATGAAAACTCTTCCGCGCTATTGGCCATCGATTCGCATTCAAAATTTTGACCAACCTATGCCCAGACAAATTTTGGCATCTACCCTAAAAAGGCAGATGCTTCCCCAATGACACAAAATGCCTGCCCGCTCGTGCAATTTCGCCTCCCCGGGAAAAACAATGTTGAAATGAATGGATAATCTTAGGAAGCTGGATAGCCTTACTTTCCGAGTGGCATAGATGATCTGAATAGGCAAGATTGGGCACCAATGAGGAGACAGCTGTAGATGTATATTTAGCAACTGTAATATCCTCCATATTTGCCCCAGGTCACCGGGCCTGCTTCCTAGTAAAAGTATACCCCGAGTCTGGCCCCACACTTTTGGAACGTTCCTACGCTTATGGCAACTGCGTACACACTATAGCATAGCTCAGCAAACCAGCCAGCAACGAAGATCAGTCGTCAGCCGACAAAATAGGTGCTATTTTGTTCACATGAATCCCTGACTGCGTAGTACTGAATGCGGCCGGCCGGCCGGAATCGCCGTGGCCAACATACAGCAGCCAGGGAAGAGCCATCAGCCAGCTATGCCATTCGCAAATGCATATAATTGTGCGCTTAAAGAGCGGCCGTGTCCATTGAAGTGTCCCACCGTAGCGCTGCCATCTGACCCTGAAATATGGTTGTGACCCGACGGCGTCTATGCCATTGGTGTGACCCCGTGACCGTGCATCTCTTAATGCTGGCGGGCCGGCTGCGGCGGCGACTTGCAAGGGTACAGCACTTAATCGAAGGACTTGTTGTCGAGCACGGTGGGTGCGACCCGGTGCACATGATAACACTATGGGAGCACTTTTGGGCAGTAACGTAAATCGGTCGTCGGCCAATAACACCGGTTTCGTTCACGACACCATGACGGCGCGGTACTAAAGGCTGCCGCACGGCCGGTAGCGTGCTGGCCAGAATACGGCAGCCATTGAAAATACCCACAATCGTGCACGGCTGGTTCGACCTTGTGCACATTGATAGCACTCTGGGAGAACCATCTGTCGACGGCATAAGTCGACCGCCGGCCAGCACCTCTTTTGTTCACGACGGCACATTTCTGCGTGAGACCCCCCGGGCGGTAGAGTGGTGGCCAACATGTGAGCGCCCGGAACAAATGCCCATAATCGCGCAGAGACAGCGCAACCCTGGGCATTTGATTGCGCTGCTGCAGGACTATCACCCTCAGAAGGAATCTGCTTGTTGGCCGACGGCATTTATTTATTAGGTCAGCCCAATTACAGTGCTTCATTCAATGCTGGGTGACCGGCGCAGCAGGGATTGGCAAAGTGGCTAGATTGCGTTCTGATTGCGAATGAGATCACCGTTGCGTTCTGATTCACTAGAGTGCGTTCTGAGGCATGTTTTGGGCGGTTGGGACCAACACAGTGATAAACGTCACGTACGTCCAGACACCAGAGATTATTGTTGTCTGTACTGCGAAAAAAATGGAGACATCCTCAACTTTTCCAATTCAACATAATGTGTTTCTGTATGAGCATCGTATCCGAGGGTTCTCAACGCCCGTGACCAATGCGGGCAACCAAACACACGCGTGGGCAACTCAGTGCGTGCCTGAAGCAGCACAAAAAGCAGCAAGTAAAACTTGAGACACGTGAGCTAGCCTCAGTCCATCTTCCTCGGACGCCGATCTGTGTCCGGCCGCAGGCGCCGCTCTGAACACTGCAGGGTACCCACTGTGCTCACCTGCCGGCTGATGGATGGCTGCCCTTCTCCAGTGAACACTGCTGTGGCGTGCGCGCACGCCGGCGCTGGTATCCCTTCCGAGCAGGGTGAGATGGATGGACCTTTCTTGTCGCGTTCGTTGTGGTGGCATGCCGTTTGGGCCAGCGGACCGTCGCTTTGACGGATCATTGTCAGGTGGCAGTAGAGAAGGTCGGGTGGTGTATACGTGTGGAGCGTTGTGTAGCAATGTTCGTTCGCGCTTCTGCATGGGTGCCTCTGTTCAGTAGCGTAGCCAGAATTTCGCCCAAGACGGGGCCAGATGAGGTCATACGGGATCCTCTCAGGTACTAAGGGCCCCTCATTATGCAGTAACATCTAATATGGATGTTGTCTGCCGTCTTCACTGCTATAAGTGTACCGTGTGTTTTCCTATTCGGAAGTCTTGTTAGACTCGGGATTCTTCCTTGATGCATCGGGTCTCACTCCTCGGTGTGACAGAAGCCCTGCGGGCGGCTTCAACTACCAAAGAGCATTGGAGCTTTCGGCTCCAGGGGACCCCTGCCAGCCCCAGGGGGACGATGACCCCAAAAGCCCCCAGGCTACGCCACTGCCTTTGCTGCCGCGTTCATTGGGTTATTATCAAATGGTTTTAAGTCCGTTTCTCTGGAGTGATTGTCGTCTGTCCGCATGATGTCGTGACTCTTCGTGCCCCAATTAGGGGACTTTTGCCGTTGTTAGCGGCCGCTAGCCGTGTGCTAAACATGGGATCGCAATGACATTGCCAGTCAAGAAGTCGTGAGACCGTCAGCCAGCAAGAGGCATGACACTTATCCGCTCCACTTAATCACTCGATGAAATGGTCACTGCCCAGTTGTTTTTATTGCATAGCTTCTATGATAAAACATTCCTGTGAGCCATGAGCGGAATCATATTCTTTGTAAAGGTAATGAGTTGAATCGCGAGCCAATCATTTCTAAGAGTTTTGTGTCAGTAAGCTATATGGCTTAGATTAAAATGTCAGCATGAGGAAACACAACACGCCCCAGACAAATTAACATACAATTCCAGGGTATTCAAATTAACAGCATGCAGCGTTACTTGCAGAGCTTTTGGTGAATCAGCACAAGGTGTGTTAATGTAATTTCTAAGCAGCAAGCACAGCTTAGTTGGTCCTGATCTAAAGCTTGCCAAATCGGAGCCTGGAACCAGAGGATGCTACATGGTACAGACATCTTGCATTTTTACATCATTCACTAAAATCAGTCAAAAATTTTCTGTTATCTTAAAAATCCAAGGGATAGTCATATTTGCCATTGTCAGCTGTCGCAGCAATGAGGTAAACCATACCTGACTCCTCATCGCCACTTAAACTGCGGTAAGCATGATATTGGTGAGGCGATATGAAATAAACAGCAGTAGTGGCAAGATCGTCTCATCTCATATGTGGATTGTATGTCACGGAATGTGACCTCCCGGGTATTGCATCAGTAACTATTTCCAGTTCTAAAAGGGGTAAATAAGTCTATTTCTTGTTCTTTTTTAAATACGCTTGATGTAAATATGTCTATTTCAGAACAACAAATAATTTATGCTTTCAATGAGCAGTCTTGATTGGAAGTCTTCACTCTTCACGACTTTTTCTTAGCGCCTAATTAGCTTCGTCTTTGTTGTATGAGGACGCGCAGGTCGCCGACGCGTGGGAGGGGGAAGGCGCATAGCATTAGGCGTGTAGGGGGCAGTGCGATGAATGAGAGCCCTATTCTCCGGCCCTTTTTACGTGGTCCGTGTAAGTCCCTATCGTTTCCTTACCTTTCGTCGCCTTTCCCTCGCCCTGAGCCCTTGCTAGGCGCGTCAGCGTCACACTGTGGTCAGGGCCGGCCAGCAGCCGCTCAAACCGAGCTTGCTCTTGAAAACAGGCGGCGAGCGAGTCCTACGCGTGGTGATGTCCATAACAAGCCTATGATTGTTCGAACTGCCTGTGTTAGCCCTATCACAAGAATGAAAACATGGTATTACGAAGATGTCCTCACGTACATGCAACCTTTATTCTGGCACTTTCTCACCACAACACTCATGCCAACACAACAATAGGAACAGCATAACATCCACGCTGACAACGCGGGATGAATGTACCCACACACTACCACGGAACACTAAAATAATATCAGTATTGCTGAGTTGTTAAATTAGGATGAGTATTATCTGCCGCTATGCACAGTTCACAGGTCTCACGTACCCTTTAGTAAAGTGACGCGCAGTGCATGCACAAAACAAAACAACGTAACACTGGTCAGGGTTTGGGCGATCACGGAGCCTCCCGGTCCCAGTCTGGTCCGGCTACCGGGCCTATCCAAGAAAGCGATCAGTGCTCACAGGAGAGAATCAAGGGCACAAGAAAAAGGAGACGTCTTGTCGAGAAAGGAACAAAGGCCTGCATTACGGTATACTGCACTTTTCCTTCGTGGCCTCACCAACGAGCGCGTTGGATCAACTGCGCGCACTGTGTCGACGAAAGGGGTCGAACATTTCTGTCACGCCTCTCCGAGTCGGGCTAATTCGGAGTGGAACTGAACATACGCTAAAAATATAAAGCATGCGGCCAGTCCTTCATGATGTAGGCCAGACATAAATCAGTCAACTCTATACAGCGAGTTGATGTTGATAGCCGTGGTAAACGGAGCGGTGCGGCATTGTAGCATGATGCACGTTTAGAAGCGGACTTTTCCTTTCCTCCAGCGTGCGTAACGTGAGAAGTGGAGATGCATGGCGTGGCAAATAAAATCGGGAAATGTACCAACACTTCATGCCATAAGTAGCCGTCGCTGGACGCCCACCAATTTTCACGAGCGACGACGCTGTTGCATTCTTCACATTTGACCCTTACGTCAGGGGTTTCTTGCACAGGACTTCTGACATTTCCACAAAAGCGGAACAGAGCACCGGCCATGAGAGCTGCCATATTTCAGCCGGCATGCCTATGTGGGACTCCGGGCCAGGCCAGGCCACCAGGGGTTCGCCGTTACCAGCCGGTGCCACCGAGAGAACACTGATGCAGCGCAGAGTATGGGAATGTCTCGGGGAAGTAAAGCTTGTTCCACCGGATCTACCGCATCGGCCGATGCTTAGATCTTCTCCTCCGGGTCGAGGTGCATCAGGGGCTCCAGCAGACCCGGGTTGGAGCTCTCTGGAACAGGAACCCGCATTTGATGGCGAAACACTTCAGAGAGACGTGGGAATGCTGCCAGGGCGAGCGTGCCTCAATGGGAAAATGTTCAAGATGTGTCTGCTTTGACACAGATTGGTGCGGCCACCGCAACACGTGTCACGCCACAACTCGTATTTATGCACGTGAATACGACCAAAACCAAAACATTCACTCTGAACATAAGTTTCCCCACAGGAGAGGCGACCACGAGGCACCGCACAGCCCACATTACGCCAGCAGCTCCCACGGCTGGGCAGCCCCGCCGCGTGCCACACCGAGACCCGGCCCGCCAGCCGCGCACGTGCGCCGCCGAGTGGCCGGCGCCGCGCCGCGCTTACCCACGTCTGAGCTGGGCGCCACGGCGAACGAGAGGTGGTAGTCGAGCTTGGGCGGTGTGAGCCGCTGGCTGGCCGGCAGGCCCTGGTGGCTGACGTAGCTACCTGGCGACCACACCAGATCGGCGTCTGAGGAGCACACGTCTGATCGAGCACACGTCTGGCGACCACACCAGATCGGGGTCTGAGGAGCACACATCTGATCGAGCACACGTCTGGCGACCACACCAGATCGGCGTCTGAGGAGCACGGCAGACAGCTGCAGTGGCGCGGCGAGGGCGCCGGTGAGCACCCCGGCGAGGGTGCTGCCGGCCCCACCGCTGGGGCCCAGGCGGACGGCCAGGTCGAGGGAAGCCATGTCGGGACCCGGTAGTGTTCAGGAACGGAAGGAATAACTAATAGGAATGAGTCACGGGCTCGAGACAGTGATACGAGTAGAGGTCATTTAACATTGTAGGGAACAGACACAACACATTTTGTGCGAACGTGAACGCGCGACAGGAAAATTATTCACGGACACAACACGCGGACACGAGTCACGGACACGAAACGTTTACGCCCATAAAAAACAACGCTGGATTGGGTGCTAATTGCTAATGATCACGCAGAGGCATGCTGTATTACTTCAGATTTAGTTTGAGACGCGCCACATTTCTCCTCTTGGTTATAAAAATTATTATTTGGTAGCCATTCGGCCTAATGGGCTAGCCTTCTTCCACATGAAGGTAATCACGTCATCTTTCATCTCGCGTCTCAGTGTACGCCGCCGACATTGTTATGCAATGTTCATGGGATAAATTAGCGGTGAATGAGGGCGTGTGTCAGCCGACTGCCAATTTCATCAGAACCAGATGGGATTAACGGAATAATAAAGCGATTGGCCTTCGACTACACTACTATGAGCCTTCAGGGCAGTCGGCAATATCATAGAAAACGCACGAGGGATTTTGAGGACGTCGGGGATGACTGTGGTAGATATGGGCCAGTCACCGTACCACCGCCACTCATGTGCAGTAACTAAACATCTTCCAGCGCATGTACGTATCGTGATTCAGGCCAGGCAGGTCGGCTACCTCAACTGTCGTTACAGAGCAGTGTGTTCACCACAGATACTGTTCTGTCTACGTTCACCACACACACCACAACCAGCACGCAACAGCAGCACGACGCGTTTTGTCGCACCCGTGACGCCTTAGAAAGCTGGTCCACACGATCACCACAGACCGCCGCGGGTGCTTACCTTTGATCTTCATGCCGTTCTGGTATCGCTTCTGCCTGGCTCGCGAGTTCTGGAACCAGACCTGGATGACGCGCTTGGTGAGGCCGGTGACCTGCGCGATCCGCTCCAGGTCGTGACCGTCCGGGTTCGAGTCGAGCTCGAAGTTGGCCTGCAGGATCTGCAGCTGCTCGTCCGTGAAGGTGGTCCGCACCCGCTTCGATTTGTGCCGCGCCCCCGTCTTGCCGTCCTCGCTCTCTGCGGGCGCGCGGGCGCGTCAGACACGCCTGGTATGTCAGGGACAGCTCAGCCAGACGTACTCGTGCGTCAGGGAAACCGATGTGAGAGTACGTTAACTTTATCGTGACGCAAACGCACGGTTGACCGTGACGGATATCGGGATGCGGGGACGTTTGGAGATTGCGTAACACCGACACGGCTCCGGTCACGGTCAGGTTTGCTCGGCTGCTGCTCTGCTGGTTCGCGCTTTTAAAGCTGAACGGATGTATGTTCCACACCAGGTTGGCTAGACCAGCCCTGGTTGTAGCGCATGCGGGCGGCATGATGCAGCGCAACGGACAATGCCACGCTAAGTACACGATCTTTCTATCTCGATGGCCTTCAAACAGATCGCGAGGGGAGGCTACAATGCCGTCACGGGCCGCGGCCCCCGATGATCAGCAATCATGGGCCGCTGATAGACCCATCACGGGCTTAGGACGAGCCCGCCCGCCCCACGGGCCGGCGGCAGCTGAACTGGCCCCGCGAGTAATCCCCGCTCTGTCGGATCCGCCGCCGAATCCCGCTCCGTAAAAACGACACCAATCAAAACAATCCTCGGCCACCGGCCGCACGCCTGTTTACCCCTTTGAGCGCGGTCCGCACAAAGCCGCACAACCACTGCGACACACATGATCCTCGGAGCGAGCCGAGCACGCTCAGAGGGCGCGCGCGGGCGGCGCCGGCGCGCAGCCGTGGGCGGGCGGCGCCGCTTCCACGCGCACGGCGCTGAATGGGCGCCGGAGCGGGCGGCGGCGCGCGCTCATCAGCGGCTCATCCGCCGCACGTGCCGCCGCCAAAACACGCTACACTGGCGACGGCGCGCGCCACTCGACGGCCGCTCCCATCTCACGGCCGGGCGCGCGCGCCGTCGGCGGCGGCGGGAGGAGAGCGAGGCGCCGGCCGCCGGCCGCCGGTCGGCGCTGACACAATGTGGCGGGGGCGCCGCCGAGAGGCGCGCCGCGTGCGGCACGCGGCACAGGCCAGCGGGGGTCATGGGGCTGTCGCCGCGCAGGGTAACGGGCGGCCCCGCCCCCCGCTGCGCCGGCATGCAGAACACCGAAGTGGACGCCGAGTCGGGAATCGCGGTGCGCGCCATGGGTTTTTTAGTTAGAAAACAACTTTGACGTCCAGCGAAAGTTCTTGCAGGCGTAGGGTATGTGGGTTTGTGATCATAATAACGGTTGGAATGTAAATCAAGGTAAGAGCGGTATCGCCAGTAGCATCGTTGTAAGAGCATGGTAAGGAAAGTTGTGAAATCGCACGTTCAATCTCAAGGGGTTCCTCTGTTCAGATCCTGCCTGATCTACAGTTCAGAATGCACATCTGCCGCCGCTCTGTGTAGTTTCCGCATGTTACAAGAGGCAGCGGAGTCTCTCGCTGTTAGGTAGGACAACACACCAGCAGCCCCCCTCCCCTCCCCCTCCTCTTGTCAAACCTGCCGTGGCTGTATTTATGACCAACGCAAGGCACCGAAACAGCGCCGTTTTAAAGCCCTAGCCCACAGGCACGAGGCCTGCGCTCCACCTCTGCGCAGCAGCCCCCCCCCCCCTCCCCCCGCCGACTAACCATCATTGCTGGTGCAGCCTCCGTCCAGCATCTCCTGGTAGTGCGCTTTGCAGAGCACCCGGTTGTCGTGCAGGCCGAACTCCTCGCCGGTGCTGAGCTGACGCTTGCACGCGTCACACGCGAAGCAGGCCAAGTGGTAGACGTTGTTGCGCGCGCGGCGCACCCAGTCAGAGGCGGTGATGCAGCGCGTGCACTTGGAGCAGGACACGCTGAAGGACCTGGCGGAGAGGAGCAACACGCTAAAGGGGCAACGTTATGGGGATGAATGATTAAGACGCATCAAATAATGTGACAGGCAGGCAAAGCACGATAAATGAATATGACGGAAAGCACGTGGCAAGCTTTAGCAGCTCTTGAAAATAGCATAAAAATCCGTGTGTCAATAATCTGTGAAAAATGATATCTTGCCGCAAAATTTTATTAATATAACGGTAAAAATGTTCTGGGAAGTTTGGTTCATTCTTGACGTAAAAGACGGCAACAGATATTGGCGAATCACCAATGTTTTGTTACTTTAACCAGAGCGAGTTCCTTTCAGCTGGATTGACGTTGTTGCGGTGGGGGACAATTAACGTCCAATATCGCTACCTGCGTAGAACGCATAGACTGTGACGTCGTGGGGGAGGGTAGGGGAGCAAACCTCCCAAAAGTCTGACAGCGTAAATGCCGACAGCTGCTCCGCACTATTCCAACAAATCTCTCCCATTTCGGCCTCTATTCTCACACGGCCGTCACGGCCTCTACCAGCACCGAGCCACTCGATGACAGCCACTTGACATCGCTCACTTGATGTAGTCGTCGCGGCAGAAGACGTCGTCGCCCTTGATGAAGCAGGACTGATGCTGCTCGAGCGAGGCCAGGCAGACGGAGCAGCGCAGGCAGCTGACGTGCCAGCTGGCCTGGCTCACCTGCAGCAGGTACCGGTCGCTGATGGGGTCGTGACATGCCGTGCACACCGTCGGCTCCGTCTGCGGCACAAGCGGCGCGCCCGTTACACACGTGGAGGATGCCGCTGACGTGGCGGCGGGGCGGACGTGGCGCACGGGGTAGGTGTCTGCTTCACCGATAGCGCCTCGTGCGAGGCACCACGTGGGCGAGCGCCGCGTGCCGTGGCTCTAACTACGGTAATATTTGAAAGGTTTCCGCACCAAACACTATCATTCAGTCTTCATTGACACATAGATAGGTGACCAGCAAGCACGCACAATGCAGACGCGTAGGCCGACCTTTGCTCGGGCATGCCACAGGATGGCAACAGTCGGGCTGCCCGTACCGCTGCTGCAGCATGTCTCGGCATGTAAACAGCCGGACACGAGTCTGGTGGCATCGTAGTTTTAGATATTCACAGAAATGATCATGGTGAACAACACGGGCACCGTTACAGACGAATGTCAACATCGTGCAATTTTGCAGGTTTTCGTGCAATGGTAGTCCGCTAATTAAATCGAGCTTTTGGAACCGGGTGTCTCATAACCAGCTTGTAATGCTGACTTTGGTCCCAGAAAACGAGATATTGCAATTCCATGGATAATCTAACAACCGGTGTTTACGAAGCCATTGGTAAGGGGCCATCATGTCATGGGGCTCCGTGGTTTCGCCGCCCCTGCCAGCGTGGCTCTCCAGTTCACTAAACAAGTGGTTTGTGACTGTTTTCTTTTACTGTGAAAAACAAATATTCCAGCTGTCGGTCGTGGGTCTAATGTGAAAGTCGTGCTTGGAGTGGCGGAACAAAAATATAGGACAGAGGAGGCAAAAAAGAGAAAATAAATAAATTGAACATGTGATGGATTTGTTTTGTGACGAATCCCTTACTATGCATCAGCTTCTTTCCTTGCTCTTCCTTGCCCTTCCTTGCTTTTCCCTGCTCAGGGCGCCACGGTTCGCTAGGAAGCTGAGGTGGCTTTCGGCAGAAGTGCCCCCTTATCGTAACTGTAACACATTTGTTACAGGGCACCCAGAACTTGCATAGCATTGCCAGGAATCGCCGAAACCATGGCAATACACATAACAAAGAATCGCCATATAGTGCAGCACTAGACGTTGTTTTACAAACACGCCCGAAACGAAAGTCATTCATCCCTGCTTATTCGGACAGGGCGCTCCCGCCCGCCTGCCAGTCGTGACTGTTGTGTGCGCCGTCCGATCGGCGCCTCCTCCGCGTGCTTTTGAGCCGTCCGGCACACACGCGCGTCCCATCCGCCCGGCCTGTCGTAACGGCGTCGTAACGGATGGGCCGGCGTCGTAAAGCCCGCCGTCAGCCGGTTGTGACGGAGCGATTCCTTTCGCGGCGGCCGGCCGGTCGCCGGCGGTTCGGGTCCGAGCGGCGGTGGCGCGACGGGCGGACGCCGCCGCCCGCACCCCGACCGCCCGCCGCCGCCGCCGCGGCCTCTTTCATCCGCGCCGCCCGGACCGCGGCGACGCCGGCGTCGGCGGCGGCTCTGGCTTTGGGTCGCGGGCGTGGCTGCGAGTCGAGCCGCCGGCTCTGACGGATGCGCGACAGGCGGCAAAAACGATGACGTAATAATGAAGCTGTGAGAGAGGTGACGAGGTCGCGGCGCGCTTCCCTGGAGAATTCCCCGCCTTTGTGCTGACGTGATGGAGTGTGAGCACCGCGAAGAATCGGATATTCGAATGGGGAAGAGACATGGACGGGGAAGGCCGGCGACCGCGGCCAGCGGCGGGAGGACCGCACGAGCATGTCCACGCAGCTGTCGGGCGTGGGGTTCTGGCTGTGGAGGGCTGCCGCAAAGGCACCGACCCGTCACGACCCCGAGCGCGGCATTGTAAAAAAATGTGCTCTTAATGGAGAACGATCGTGAAGATCCGTCGCGATTTCCATGGACGCTGCGATAATGGGACAGGATACGGCTCTTCAGCAGACACGGTGTTAAGCAGATATAATTTAAAATAGATGTTTACTCCACCACCATCGGCGTGACTGTGGCATCAAAACGGATGTACAGATATCTAAGGGTATAGTTCGACTCTAAATTGCATGTCCGATCCGGGCGGAGACCGACCAGTGACTACGACGAGTAAATGCGTTATAGGCTATCGGTTATGTACAGCCACGGATTATCACAGATCGCGGATAATTATCCCTGATTCATGAATACGAAATCGATCATGGCCCAAACGAAAATGTAAACGATTTCTAAACAAATGCTTTTTATGCGACTTAAGTCCAATCAACTTTGGATCTGACTGAAATCGATGAGAAAGCTACCCGATTTTCGCATGAAGATAATTATGTTGATTAAAAGGAGTGTTCCACATTTCTAGAGGTGTTTGAAAATGAAATAGCCATCTTGAAGACCATTCGGTGCAGTTCATGGCCCTGCCCTTCTTAAGACCTAAGCTCCTTGAGTTTCTGAACTACACGCCCACAAACATGGGGAGACTTTTTCAGGCAGACTAATTTAAGGTCACCTTGGCATTCATGACGTCATCATAACGCCATTCGGATCCTGCCATTCTGCAAGCTGTGCGGCGATCAATGCCAATAAAAGTATAATTGTTGATTCGTTTACATCTGGCGTTCGTGAGCACGATTTCCAGATAAACTGGTCGTCAGTTGGCGCTCAGTCAACATAACGCAAGGTAAGATGACGTAATCAAACAATGACGTATTACTTAACAAAAATACTACGTTGTCCAGAGGTCTTTTCTACTTCAAAGTACCATAGGTGAAGTTATTCCATCATATCTGATGCTTGCTTCAATATCTTAAAACGTGAAGTATTCACTCTCAAGGGAATGCATCTCATCCCATTATTGAGTATCTCAAATGTGACATTTTAAGCTGGCGGAGGTTCGTCAGCATCGTTTCACTAGATGCTGCCCATTTTCCCAGGAAATAATAGAGAAATGCATCCGCAATAAATGCACCCACAATAAATACACCGTAGAGGAAATGCTTTCGCGCATATTGAACTGTCTCATCATTTGATAATGATAATCATTGCATCCAATTCAAAGCTCTGAACAGTTTTCGACAAAGCATGCCACCAGTGTGCCAATAACACAATCATACTTCTGTATGTTTCTTGGCGTTCCCGAGTATTAAAGGAATCCGTCATAACTACAATATCTATTACACTTCTGAGACGAAAGCTGAACAGATACTTCTTGTGTCTCGCCAACGCTTCGGTTAATAACACAGCACTAGCCGCACCACCTCTGCATCTGATAACTTCCGACTGATGTCTCTGCTGTCGCCTGCCTCGAGACACGTGACCGCATATCCAGACGGGCCTCAATACCGACGCCTCAACTTCCCTCCTTTTTCCTTTCCTTCCAAACACTGCAGCGAGCGGACCTCCATTTGGAAGCTCTCACTCTCCATGCATCGCCGTGTGGACACTGTTGGCTCTGCTAGTCGCCGCAGCCCCGTCCCGGCCTCGCAGTTCGTCCCGGTAGCGCGTTGCCACGCCAAGCGAAAACGATTCCCCCGTGGCTACGCTGCGTTAAACGTAACGTCCCAAAGAGTACCGCGCGTTTGGCCCCATATTGGACTACAGGTGCAAAACAAATAACGGGTGTGCTCCTTGTCGTGACAGAAAGCCATCGGGATCCGGCCTCAAGATCTTAATCTGTTTTTGAAGATTTCGGTATGATTTCTTACTACACGTAACTACATCTTTACGCTTACGCCGTCCAAAACATATCCCTCTCTCCCTCGCTGCGCTTTCAGAACGCTCCATCAAAATTCCCCTCCTTACATGCTTGACGCAATAGATGGACGGCCCTTTGCTTTTATGGCTGCCCCGACCCCCACCCCCTACAGGCCTGCTCCACAGCGCCGGCAAGCCGTCGGGGCGTCTGTAATCAGTCGATTCCTGCTAGCAATACGGCCGGGACTGCAGTTAGTCGATCCCTGCCAGCCATACGGCCGGGTCTGCAGCCAGTCGATCCCTGCCAGCCATACGGCCGGGTCCGTAGTCAGTCGATCCCTGCCAGCCATACGGCCGGGTCTGTAGTCAGTCAATCCCTGCTAGCCATACGGCCGGGTCTGTAGTCAGTCGATCCCTGCCAGCCATACAGCGGGTCTGTAGTCAGTCGATCCCTGCCAGCCATACGGCCGGAACTGCAGCCAGTCCACCAGTGCCAGCCATACGGCCGGGACTGCAGCCAGTCGATCCCTGCCAGCCATACGCCCCGAACTGCATTTAATCGACCCCTACCAGCCATACGGCCGGCAAGACCCTGCCCGTAGGCCGGCGCTTGTGACCATCGGCAACATAACTCACCGCATCATCATCGCCATCAGCATCATCTTTGTCGAATGAGAAGGTGAAATGATTATGATTTTGCAACGTTGCGGAATTAGGTCTCCCGATAAAGCATCTGCATTGAAACGCACTAAAAATATTTCAACGTGACTTTTAAAGAATTGAATTTTTCGTTGTCGAACCGTTCTTGGCGATACAATCAGGGTCTCCAGAGATAAAAGGTCGTCAAAAACGTCACTGGCCAATGTGGTCCGAGCCGGCCCGCTGGAGCTAAACAATGTCCGGTTAGTTGACGTTAATAGTCACTTTGCCTGCGGATTTGCTGATAATTATCACCAAACTCATCATCTGTATCATTTCTAACATACTGTTATCTTAAACACCATAATAAACGTCAGCAACATCATCGTCGGCATCTAAGTCGCTCACCAACGCCCGACTCAACATTGTGGCATCGCGGTCACCACACAGGATGACACTCGGGGCAGCCCGGACCGGGCCTCTTGGATCGCCGTGCTGGTGCAGCCCGATGCAAATCTGGTCCGATGCAGGTCAAGCCCGATCACAGCCGTGTTGCGATGCTGATCTAGCCCAACGCAGCTTTGATCTGGGTCATATCCGACCTGACGTGGAAGTTTATATCCGACCTGACGAGGAAGTTCATATCCGACCTGACGTGGAAGTTTATATCCGACCTGACGTGGAAGTTCATATCCGACCTGACGTGGAAGTTTATA